ATTACTCTTTTTCTATTCATTATCCATCGAAACACGCCTGCGATTTACTTCTCCGCGAACTCGATCGGATTGGACCTAACATGCATTTTCTCTTGGAATTAAATCCCCTCTCCAGGCACCGAAAGCACATATTGGGAATTTAACTCACATTAAAGTGAATTGATTAAAAACATCATCACAAAATTATATAAGTAAATTAAATAATAAAAGTATATGCCCTGGAAACATGAATTAAATGTGGTATTTATTATTTCATTTCCCAGAGATTGCAATAATGCTATTTCCCTACCCAATATTGCAGTGTACAGACAAACAATAAAAAGAATATTATGTCTTCCTAATATAGCAAAAGTGGTCAAGACAAAAGCGTATATATGGTAGACTTGTATCCTGATGTGCTCCACTTTCCCAAACTTCAACCAATCAATTTCTTTCACTGTTTTCATCTTTCCTACTTTTCCACACGCTTTTCTTTCTTTCCTTTTTTCTTTCCCCCCTTCTTCGAAAAAACTTTTAACTTTTTTAAAATAGCCAAGTGTAGGTGTAGACTGGGACTTCAATCTTATTGGAACATCCCTTTTTGAAAACAGCCTTATTATGCAATACGTTTTCTCTTCATTTTTTTAAACCCATATACTGCAAAACTATTCTACCCTTTAACACGAAATTTGTTTCCCTAATATGTTTAATACCATAAGATGCTACATGAACCCTTCATGACATGGAAAAGTTTAATGAATTAATTATAGTAACATAATTTAACACTTCACTATGAGAAAATAGATATTTAGTGATGGTAGAATTAATTAAAAAAATTTAAGTTTTTGACACAAATTTAATTTATAACGAAAAAATGAGATTTTATAATCAATTTTTCCTTGTAAAATATCTATTTTCGTGTAGTGCTTGAGATACAAACCTTGTGAACATCATCGGCTTAAACTTTAGAAAAGCCTTAGTTCTAAGTTCCACTAAACAGTTGTGTTTAAATTCTGTAATTATTCTATGTAATTTAGTCAGGATATATTTTTCCCGTCCCAAAATAAGTTGGGACGCATGGCCAAGGCCAGACCGCAGAGCCCATTCGTTGAATTTCTTTCTTTCTTTCTTTCTTTCTTTTTTTCATCACTTTCTTTTCCGTCTGTTGCGCCTCTTCGACTTTTTTTTTTCCTCTTTTACAATTATGGAAATGAGATTTAAAAAAATAATTAGTATATATTCAATTTAACATAATTTTTTGATATTTTTTATTTAATTATTAAAATATAATATAAATATAACTTAATTTAACTAATTTTTATATTTTATATACATGATTACATTTTAAAGTTTACTTGTCTTTAATTTTAAACAAAAAAATAATAAAATTTTAATATATATTATATAATATGTCAAATCAAAATGTACATATACTAATCAATGTCCTTGGAACTATAAAAACTTATTGTATATAAATTACTTTATTCTTCAGAAAATTATTATGCAATTTCAATTACACAATAAAAATAATTAGGTAAAGGGTTGACTCCATTATATTGGACTCTCCCCATCCAACTATCTCAATAAACTCTTATTCTTTATATAGAGATAGTCATTACATTAAAGCACAAATCTTCGTTCTATTAATTTTAAACTTGTTTGTAGTTAAAAATATAGAGATGTCATCTCAACTATCGTAATTTTTTTGGAATGAATGCTCATATGACATGATATTAGAAAGAAAACTTGACAAATTATTGTTAGAAAAAAGTTCTAAGATAAACATTGGAGTAGATGCTAGGTATCGGACCTTTGAGGTTATTTAAGAAAAAATCAATAGTGTGGGAGTAACGAGCATTAATTGTATATATATACTACCTGTGTTTAATTTTAATTGTTTTAATTTAATATTTAAAATTTTTAAATATTAAATTTAGATATAAATTTAACATAAAAATGATAATTAAAATTTAAAAATTTTGTAAAATCAAATAAAACTACTAAATAAGAATTATATAAAAAAATCAATTGTAAATTATTCATGTATTTTATTAAATTTTTACATAAAATTAATGTATAAAAAAATTAAAAATTAGAATTAAAATAACTAAGGAGTAATCTATTTTCAGACCCCATTAAACATGTCTGCCATTAATTTTCCAAATAGCTCTGATGGGACCTAACACGTTTTTTCCACCCATCACATACGCCTACTTGAAAATTTCATATGATCTCCTGCCATATGAAAAATGTGATGGAGAATTAATGAAAGACTTTTACCCAGATGTGCTTCATGTCACCTTTCCAAACTTTGATTTTTACCTTCACTTTCAAATGCCTTTATCACTTTTTTTTTTTTTTTCGAGAAAAACAATGATTAGAGATATTAATGTATTTAAAGATGTTAGTACATAGAAAAGATATGAACTCAGGACATGAGATACAAATCATAACTTACCTTAAAAAAATAGCAAGTAACCGTTGCACTACGCATGTGAAATGCCACTCTTTTTCTGTCATGGACTTTTTAAGTTTTGTATTCTAACTTTTCCACGTGGAAATGAAAGAGAGGCGATGTGGTATTTATATATGTCATTTCCCAGAAATTGCAATGCTATTTCCCTACCCTATTAATATCGGCCGTGCCGAGGCAAACAATAAAAAGTATAAATATATGGTGTGGAATGACTTCTACATAATCCTGATGTGCTCCACTTTTCGAACTTTTCCACACGCTTTTTTTT